GAGCTTTTGAGTGATTTCAAGTTCTGGTGCGTAGCAAAATTTGCTGTCATCACACTGTTCGCCTATCGAAGAATGCTTCGCTTAGCGAACGATTATGTTCCCAGACTCTCCTAGCGAAGAAACTCGCCCCAGACTCGCCTAGCGAACATGCCAGCGAATGTAGTAGAGTTTCACGAATGTTGATCGTGTGCAGCGATGCTTTGATGTTTGATTCTGTGGTTTCTGTGATGAATTAACATGAGTAGGACTGTGAAGTTTATTTGATTACTAGGCAATATCATGAGGATTACCGCGAGTATAGTTATGAATTAACATGTGATAATATATGATAATATGATGAATTAATATGAGTATGATTGTGAGCGCTATGTGATTTATACATGATTTCTATGATGACATGATGTATGATGACATGATGTGTGATGACATGATGTATGATGATGATTATTATGATGAGCTATGATGACATGATGTATGATGATGATTATGATGATGAGCTATGACGTTTGATGGTGATGAATATGATGAATGATGATGCACATATGATGTTGTTATGAGGATGATTTGTGATGTGTGCATCATGTATTCATGTGCATCTGGACTTCGGTTCAGGACCTCGATTACTTTGGCTTCAATCCCATTGTGTGGATGTGAAGTGTTTTGATGTGCTCCGGTTCTCAAGTAGAATCGATCCTATTGATGAGGATCTATGGAGGGTTGATGGCCCAGTGTCCATCGCACTGTGATGATTGGTACCACATGCATTGAGTCTTGTTGCATTTTGCATTTATGAGTCTTTTGGTATAATTTATGATGTTGTGGCCTTGGAGGCATATTGAAGAATATGTATGTATTGAATATGAAAATGACGTCGTTTATATGTTGATTTTTATACATTGATTATTATGAATCGTTTTACTCACCCTGCCTGTTTGAATGTTACCTCCACGTGGGTAACGTGCAGATGACCATGTCTAGCCGTTGAGGACTTTTGAAGTTTTGAGTTGTTAGCCCTTGGTTAACATAGAAGGTCTTGCTCTGATAGTGTAACATCGGGTTAGGGTCTATGTTTTATCTGAGTTATTTTGATTATCTTTCCGTATAAGGAAAACTTTGGATAATGCCTTTTGAGTTTCGCTGCCTTTGAGCAATTTTTGATATCTTTTGGGAAAACCCGTTGTACACTGAACATTGACTTATTTTGAGTTATTGAGAAATGTACGCCCTTTGAGGTGATTTTTATTGAGTTAAATATTTTACTCTGATATATGTATTATTTTGCCATAATATTTGTGGGGTAGAAAAGGGTGTTACAGTAAACATACAAACAAGCATAATAAACGTGCGAACAAGCGTATAAAGCATGCATACATGAACAAATAGTCGAGCACACACCAACACATAAGAAGAAATAAATTCCATAAAACAGGCACAAGCCCGACAGTCAAATATTACAAGAAAGGGCCCACGGCCCGAACAAAGTCAAAATAACAAAACTAGGCGCGCAGGCCAAAACTATTTGGCACGGAGGCCACCATCACCTAATCTAGCTGATCATCTTTGACACGGTACTCCTCCTCGTCTACTGAGCCGTCGGGCACGACGATATGGCCATCCTGGATCTGATGGAAAGGGTCGATCTCGTCGGCCACCAAGTCGAAACCGGAGTTGATGAGCCGAATCTGGTCGACAGGACTCTTAAAGCCCACCTCAGTCCTCCTCCAGCTGATGGATCCTCTCCACTAGCTCCCGCCGAGACACCATTAGTCGCTCCTCCTCGAACTTCTCCTCGATCGGGGCAGCCATAACCTCGAGCTCAGTAGCACGACCCCTAACTCCCGCCAACTCTTCCTCCCTTTGCTTCAGCGCCTTCTCTAGCTCCCCGATGCGCTCCCGGTGGACTTTGTCCTGCTTTTGGTACTCCTTCTGGCCGGCCGCCAGCTTAGACCAGACCTCCTCGGATACCGCGAGCTCGCTCTTGGCAGCAACCAAATCCTTTAAGGAGCACCCCTCCTCATTCAGCACAAGGGTCGTGTCGAAAGCCCTCACCACCGCGGCCAGATTCGCAAATAGCATCTTCCTCCGAGCCTCCTTGCTCGCGGCCAAGATGTTCCTCGCCTCCTCCGGAGCCACCACGAGAACATTCCCCCCTGAAAAGTAATTCGGCTGAAGACAACAGGGAGGCAGAACGAAACTCCGCTCCGGGGACCCATCCGTTAGATCAATCGGAAATACTTCAGCCTCCCGTCACCTCTTGGGGGCGAGGGTGGCGTCGGGGAGCCGTTGCCCTGCAGGGATGAAGTCGTTCCCGCAGACCCAACAACCACCTCCCTCCGAACAACGACGACCCTCCCTTGAGGACGACGATTTTCCCTACTCATCAGCTTGGTTACGCGTTCCTTCACGGAGCCCATTATACCTGCAAGAAGAGCACAAGAAAAATAGTTAGTGTTAAAAATAAAAAACGAATAATAAAGACTAGCTAGGGAGATGCCCAACTACCTAGGAGCCGGTGAGCCTCAGCCTCTGTCCGACACTCGAGCATAGCCTTTGTATTGATACATCGGGTCTTTGTCCGTATCTCCCCATCTACGTCACGGATATACTCCCCGTCGGGGAACACGCACTTTCGAGGAGGAAGACGTCCGACGAAGTCCGTCAGCTTTCTAAAAGAAAAACTATCCTCCTCACCCAGACAGGAAGGTCAGTAGATGAAGCTATCGATGCTCAAACAAAAATGCAGGTCCATCCACTCCAAGGGGAAGTTGGACTCATAACTATCCTCAGATTGCCCGTCCATGACAATGACCTCTCTCCGAAACATGGTGTTGTAGGCCTCGTCCGTCATCGGCATGACCACAAACCATCTGTCCTTGAACCCCCGCACTGAGTCGGTATATGGCCGGAAGATTCTGGTCGGTTGCTTCAAAGAGATCCAGTTGTGTCTACCAGCCACCATCTGCCACTGCAGATGAAAGATGCAGAAGAACAACAGGATGGTGGCTCCGAGTTCGAGATAGTCACAAACGATTTCAAAAGCCTGGAGAAAGGCGAGAGAGTTTGGATGGAGTTGGGACGGTGCTAGCATCAAGTGGTCGAACATGCCTTGCTGGAAGCCCGTGAGCGGCACGCGCATCCCCACCTCCTTAAAAGCGAACTCATACATGAGGAACCATCCCCCGTCGTACCGTGAGCATATACGATCCAACTCTCGTGGCCGGCAGGCTCGAAACTGGAGACCCGACCACCCTATCTTCGATCACATCGAAAGCGTCGGAGTCGTCGAGGATGAACCTCGACATATAGTTTAGAGGCTCATCCCCGACCCATTCCACTAACGGTGTGTCTGGGGGATCTGCGATGACCTCGTCTTGGCGGCCTTCTTCGTCTTCGGATAGGTATCACTGCACCTCCTCGTCGGCGTGGTTGGCCATTTTACCTGAAAAGCAGAGGAACTTGGTGAATTCGACAGCCAAATCAAATCCACCCTTCCATCGTAGTTCAAGTGAAAGGGCGTGGTCACCTCGACGTCTAGAAGACGATGTGGGGTAGCCTTGCCCCTCGAGGTGCCAAGGGAATACCCTTCCTATCCTCGGTGCACATATTAACTCATGCCCGGGGCATTTATCAACTATCCTCGGGGCACTCAAAGTTCTACCAACCCTCCCCGGGCCACTCATCGCACGGACCAAGGACAGTCAGTCATTACCCTAATTTTGAAAGATCCTCTGGCGTATTCGCTGGAAAATCCCACAGTCATCCCGGCGCCCCCAACGGAGCCGCCGAAAACACCGTCGGAAACACTAAAAAACACCAGAAGAGAAGAAAGAACTTACGTGATGCAGTGGCTGAGAAAGTTGTCGCATCGGGCTGAGAAATTGTGAAGGTCGAACAGAAAGATTAAAAGCACCAGGAAGTTGTCCCAAGGTGTCGAGCAGCAGTAAAGGAAACGAATTAACGAAAGGACGAGCTAGATCCCTAGCACGGGAAACGAAGCGTCGCTAGGCACTCAAGTACCTAGCCCGTAGCCTCCACAAGAAGACACGTGGCGACCCTCTACCTTCCCTATGTCTCTTCAGTTTCCCCTCCTCGACCGCGGGCTTCCCCATCATCGTAGGCTCGCCCAGTCGGCATAGCCACAGGCTGCCCGACATTGCGACGCGTCCGACGCCTTACGCTGCTTAAGTCATGGCTCGCTTGACCGCGAGCAATGACTTGGGGGGGCTACTATTTGGACTGGGCCGACGCTTAGCCCACAATCGAGCAGACCCAAACCCCACCGGGTTGGAAAGCCCAACGAGACCTCATCGTCGTGCAGAGTCTTGTCAGACAGAACACCTTCTCCCATTGAGCAAGGACCGACGATCGTCAGACAGGATTGTTGCATCTGCCCGGTTTACCTTCCCTCCGCCCCACGTTGGGCAGAACCCGTCCAGCTCGGGAAGCTCCTCTGGCTTCCCTCACGTTCTCTATGTGTCCCTTACATAGAGACACGTCATCAAGTAACCATCCGTGTCCTAATGATTCGGTCCTCCACCTCCCGGATAGCACAGAGCAGTTACACTAGGGTGAAGACCATGTGCTGGTCTTCACGACGCCACATCATCCCTAGCAGTTACCAACGTTGGGCCTGGCAACCCAGCTCAACGCGTGGTAACCGTTGGCCTTGCGCTTGGCGCTCATTATAAATACACTATTTCACTAGAGGGCCAGGTAACCTAATTTTCTCACTCTTCTCTCTGTACTTGTTATCATTCTGCTCGTCGCTTACTTTGGTATCGGAGGGTGTTTCAGGTACATCCCGCCTCTATCCATCAAGTAACAGTTCGACAGCTCAGATGCGTGGCAGTCCATCGATCTCTCTGATCAGGTACGATCATTATCCATTTTTGTTCTAATACGTGTGCTCACTGGGCGACCTTTCTTGTTCCTCTGTACTCTTGGGTTATGGAAAATTTGATCTCCTTCATAAACGAGCCAATATTCACCGTACGACAACACTAGAAAGCTTGTACTATAAACCCCAAACAGGTTTGTAACCCTATAAACGTCGAACAAAAGAGCATAAGCATCGTGGCGCACATTCGAACATGCAGCGATAACATGTGAGCAAGGGACGCGATATGATTGAATTTTCCGCAGTCACAGAACCCGTTTAAGAGGTTGACCTTATAATGTCCCATATGCTTCCCCTCACTATGGTCCATTGTCTTCTTCACACTGAAAACATTGTTAGTGTAGTCAAAAATTTTGACTTGATGTGTGATGGATTTTGTTGTTTCTTGTTTCATCACCTTGAGGCAGTTATATGTAAATGTTTGTCCAAAATTCAACACAGCACTCCACTTTGCACCCCTTTCAGCAAATAAAGATCCCAACCTATAATATGTTGCACTTACCAATGCTGTAATGGGAAAATTACGCATGCCTTTAAAGGCAACATTCAATGACTCAACAAGGTTGGTAGTCATGTGACCCCAACGTCGACCCCCATCAAATGCCCTCGTCCATTTTTCGGATGGAATATTGTCAAGCCACCTCAAAGCATCAGCATTTGCCATGCCAATCTCAGACCGATAGTAATGAAATGTTGGTTGGTTTAAAGCATACCCTAAATAAATAAATAATTAAAATATCAACAATGGACAAAAATATAATATATGTTATTGACAAAATTTAATGAATATTATCAAATATAGTTACCCATGTTAATTATTTTTTTCCGTAGGTTCCTGTCCTTGATTTCTCTCATAAAATTTTACGCAATGTGTCAGATACAATAAACATGCACCGATGGGGGATTATGCCAACCATTTTCCGCATTGTTGTATGCACTTTCAATTGATGCATGTCGGTCTGAAATCAAACATAGGTCTGGTTGTGGTGCAACATGCCTCATTAAGTTTTGTAGAAAAAACCCCCAACCTTCAGCTGTTTCACCTTCCATAAGGGCAAAAGCAACAGGGAAAATATTGTTGTTGCCATCTTGTGCTACCTCCATAATCAGTGTGCCCTTGTACTTACCGTATAACTAGGTACCATCAATTTAAAGTATAGGTTTGCAATATGCAAAACCTCTGATGCATGGTTGGAATACCCAGAATAGCCGGTGGAAGATGTGTTTCCCTTCAGCAAGTGTTATGTCATCTGTATACATGGGTAGTGTTTCTATTTCCAGCACAGTGCCCGAAACAAATTGTTTAAGTGCTAATAGAAAATGTGGAAGTTCATTGTATGAGTACTCCCAGTTACCGTATACCTGTTCAATTGCCTTATTCCTTACAATCCATGTCTTTTTGTAAGATGGAGTAAAATTGTATTAAGAAACAATTTTACTTAAGCAAACACTAACCTTAATAGAAGGATCCTTGTCTACAAATGGCATTAATATCTGAGATATTAGCTGCAAGGTTAGTTTTTGATGATCCTGGAGGATGCCTACAGGTGAATGCATGGTGACCTTGGAGGATGTCCATATGTTGTTAGGTCTACGTGTGGATGGGTTAGCGGTTGTTGGTGACATAAACGTTAAGTATGGTTTAGTGGAAGAACTATTGGGGGTGCCTTTGGAACGAGGTGATAGGAAGGGGCAAAGCCTTAAAATTACATGGCTAAAAAGAATTTATGGTACTTTGATATTGAATGCGGAGTCTCACGAGAAACTCAAAATTTATAAAACTAGAGTTTATATTTTATTGCTTTTTGCATGCTTTTTATTTCCTGATACTAATGGTAATACTATCCATCTTCATTTTTTACCATTATTATAAGATTTAAGTCAAATAAGTAGATATAGTTGGGGCGTTGCTACCTTAGCGCATCTATACGAAAATTTGTGTAGATGCGCAAGAAAAAATGTGCATAATTTTGCTGGTTGTGGCGTTTTGATTCAAGCGGGGATGGTCCAAAATGCCCAGACTGACACCAATAAACCCCAATCCATATCACTTTCCATATGCAACCAAGTAAGTATACAAAGTTTATGTATATATACTTTTCATCTATATTTTTTACTAATTATTTATTTCATAGGTGGTCCGCGTATGAGATGAATTACGAAAAAACCCCTCATCATTGTGCTCCTGGATATTGGACGTTCTTCGATCATTTTGAGGAAGATGATGTATTGTCTCCACTTATACTACTATCATTAACATTTTTTTAAAACTCTAATCCCTTTTTAACTATATTATAATTTCTATGGAGGCCCTATCTTGAACTTGAAGATGAGGATCCAACTGAAAGCGACATGTGGAGTTATACAACATTCATATTTTATTTCACTTATGTTGAAATGCATCATTCAGATAGGGTGAAACTCCAATTAACGAGCAATGGAAATTCGATAATTGGAGAGACCATAATAGACAAGAACGTCAACACTGGATAAATCATCGTCGAACTTTTCTACAAGGAAATGTCATGGATATCGAATGTAAATCCAATAGGGAATACATGAATTGGTATAGATCTGTGACCATTTTGTATCTATCACAAAATAGATACTTATGGGACCCTCGTAACCAACCAACTTCTTCAAACTTCCAAAATACCAGACAACCTTGTAACACCCAACCACAAACATTTAACACCCCTCAATAAATATTTAATACCCAACCATAAATATTTAACACCTAACAACAAACATTTAACACCCAACAACCTTTCAACCCAACACAACAACCTTATACCCCAAGCCAACACTACCATAAACCTTACCTATCATTTAACCCAACCCCCTTCAACACCCAACAACAAAACCCAACCTCTTCATACACCCAATATAACCAATACTCATTCTCTCAACCTACCCCCACAAGAACACAGCTATCAGACACCCCAACCACAAGTTCCTTTTTACCCCTCATAAACCTTCACCCTTAATTCATCTCAAGACCAACATCCCTACACCCCTACATGACTAACACAATGCCACCTTCGGACCTATCAAGTTGGAGTAATGAGGGAACACGATTAAGTTATGGCAGTGCGGCGGCGATACCAACTGCGGGTGATTTGAGTGATGATATGGTCGCTGAATTCATGAACCCTAGCAATGATGCAGGACCTTATACACAACTCCCAAACGTTGATGTTGATCGTAGAAGGTCCACCAGAAATGTACACGCTCCTGCTTGTGGAACCCATCAAGTTTACGTCGACTGGGTCAAAATTAAGGGTTGATAAGAATTTAACGTACTTTTTTAATTTCATGAATAAATAAATATTTATTTCAATTATTTTATTTTATTTTATTTTATTTTATTACTATTTTATTTTTTATTGTATATAGAATTATTAATAATAATTATTATTATCCATTTCATAATTATTATTTATAATCTAATAATTATTATTATTTTTCATAATTATTATTTATGATTCATAATTATTATTCATTATTTTATATTTATTATTATTTATTATTATTATTATTATTAATTAATATTATTATTATTATTAATTATTAATAATAATATTATTTATAATAATTTAATTTAATTTTTTAAATATATTACATAATTATTATTTATAATAATTTAATTTAATTTTTTAAATATATTATTTATAATTATTATTTATAAAAATAATATATTAAAACTTAAAAAAACAAATAAATTAAATAAAAAAAAAAAAATTCGTGGACACTGCTGCCCATTGAAAGGGCGACACATAAAAATATTCACTCTTCTGTCTATTGAAAGGACGACTCCTTTGTGCTAAAAATTCGATTTTTTTTAATATTATAGCAATATGATATATCATTTGAAATTGATAGCATTCTAGTATATTTTTTCCAATAGAATGGTAGGAAGGTAAACTATTTGCATTCCTATGCCACTGTTGCTGCAGAATTGTCAATTGTATTTTACACAATGTAAAAATAGTGTATATTTAGGGATTAGTGGGATTTAAGTTAGAGTTTTTAATGAGTGGTATGGATATTTTTAAAAAAATTGTTGAATAGTTTAAATAATTGGAAAATATAAAAATATATATTATATTGAGTGGGATTCATTTATACTATCAAATTGAGTTTTTATGTATATTCATGTAATTTCAACTAATGATATGTTTAGTAGAGGTTAAATTTACTTATTTTACACTAAAATTAGTTGCGACGAGTTGGAACCCACAAAAATAAAAATCACAAATTAACAGTACAATTCAACTTAAATAAAACTTTTAAAATGTTGAGGACTTAATATAAGTAAAAAAAACTCCAAGACAAATGATTGAGAAGAATATATGTATGTATAAGAATTAACACAATTATGCGCTTAATGTCTCTTTTATTGAATTTATAGAATATATATTAGGTAGGTGAATTTGACAACAACCGACCTTAGCTCAGTTGGTAGAGCGGAGGACTGTAGTTGGTTATACAAGCTGTCATCCTTAGGTCACTGGTTCGAATCCGGTAGGTCGGAGTCTTTTTTTAAGCTGCATCGCATTTGGTTAGTTGGGTTTGACACGGTACATTTGTGTAAATCAACAACATGTTTGCCCAGTTTTTGCAATTTCAGATTTTTACAAAAGAATCAATTATTCCAGCAGTGTCTCTAGTTTGAATAAAGTGTGACACAAAAATTTTAAATTATTGAAAAAATATTTTATATTTTATATACAATACACTGTCAACTCAACTTAATTTATAAATATTTAGTTCAAATTAATGTTAATTGTGAAATTGTGGGTTGAAAAATAAAATAATTAACATATTAGATCAAATTCGATCAAACGAATATACACTTTTAAAAATACTACTATAAAAAACTTTAACTTTGGAAATAAAAGAAATATAAAAAAAAACTTTATGGTCTTGCACTAGTTAGAAAAAGAAAAACTATATATAACTAAAAAATACAAATTTTTTTGGTTTAATATTCTTTTTAATTTCTGATTTTGATGGCTGATCAGAGCCTGAAGTGGGTCAGAGACAAACGCATGTGATGCTGGGTGTGAGAAAGGAGGAGGGGTGTACTTGCAAGGCACTCCGATGCTAAAGTAAGAATCGGGTAAGAGAGAGAGAGAGGGGGAGAGAAAGAAAGTACAAAGTATGAGTATATCAGGTGAATTTTTGATACCTGACCCTCTCGAATGAGAGAGTTTTTATAGTGCTTCCAGCGCTTGGTCATTGGTCCCTATTTTCGGGGCGAGATAGTCGTTTTCCGAAGAATAGGTAACTGCCAAAACTAGTCATTGAAACGGACAGAAGTGCTCATAACTAGTCGTTGCAACGGGCAGGGGCGCAGTTAGGGGCACAAGCACCCTGGCTGTTTTTGGATGGGGGAGCCGTGCGTGACAAACAAGTCTTGTCGAGGAGACGCGATGCGACCAAGGGTAAATTGGTCAGCCCTTCGACTTTAATTCATCAAATTCAACCAATCTACCAACTCAAACCAGATTTCTGACCTTCTAGAATCTCATCAAGAATACCACTAGTAAGGTTCAACATACTAAGCTTAACTCCATAAGAAGTCTCTTCACAAACCAAACTCATATCACAAAATTGCTCAATCAGTTCTAACTCTTTTCACCATCATCGTCGGTATATGCAAAGATTTCCAAATCAATGCATCAGCTACCACAACTGCTTTACCCGAATGGTAATTCAACCCGAAACCATCATCCTTCGGAAGCCCCATGCCAATCGGACACTCAATTTGTGAGTTATGGCGGACACACGAACCTCACTTTCCGCAC